CCGTCAGTGAGGCGTGAGCGCCACCGGCACGCTAGCTACGAAGACAGTGACGGCGCTCCGCAAACTCTCCTCTAGTTCCCTCCGCCGCCTGCCAACTGCTGCCACATTCGCCCGTCGCCGCTCCGCTGCTGCTCCGCTCGCACCCCGCTGCCGCGCTTGCCCTCCACCGTTCCGCCCGCCGCCCATTCGTCAAGAAGGATTTGAGGTCCACGACGGCACGGCGTCCTGATCTTCGAGCTCGTCCGCCGCTCGCTTCGTCCCCTCTAATACTGTGTCGTTGGCAATCATGCGTCGCTTCGTCGAGGTCCACGATAGCGGCGACGGAGGACACTGATGTTGGCGAGGCGAGGCCGGAGAACGTGACAAGCGAGGCGGTGCAGCTGTGCTGTGCGACTAGGCGCCGCAACAGCTCAGCCATCGGTATGACATGGCCGGCGAAGGGGCTGACGATGAGGATGACGTGCGGCGGCGGTGGGCGATGTGACGACGGAGGCAGCTGAGGGATTTGGGGGTTCTTTTTGGTGCCCAGGGCTCTACTAAATGCAATGTAGATGGTCAGCTTCGGTCAAACCGGGTTTGGACCTTAATGAGTCACTTAAACAAGATGGTGAACCTAGATGTGCAATTTACAAGATTATGGACCTAAGTGACACCCGCGCACAATTTTAAGGACCGGCCGTGTATTTTACTCTAAATTATATCTCTATCTCTCCCAACTTCTCTTCTACTCCCTCCAACTAAAAGTTTAAGCCATAGTTCTTATATCATTGAGACCACTCACCACAGGCGGACAATTTTTTTTAATTAGATACTAAGTAAAATTTGGTACATAAAGGTTCTATGAAAAATTTAGTGTGCTTCAAGGTAATTTCTTAAATACTGTAAAATTCTTAACATACTTTGCAGTGATTTCAGGCCTGTTATTACTATCTGCAAAGTACGTTGATTACTGAATCCACTTCTTCCATCTTTTCACTAGTTGTAATTGGAAATCAGCAATATGAAGAACATTGTTTGTGTGCGCTGGTGCGTATGTACATGTGTGATTGTGTGGCGTAGACCAAATAATGGTGAAATAATAAAACCAGCTTAAGCAGATAATCACAGGTAATTAAGACATGTTCTTCGTAGTTCTGTCAGCCTTTAAAAAGGCAAGCCTGAAGATCCTTTCCTTATGACACTAGCTATCAGGTGTTATTTATGAAAGAGATGATTGACTTTCAGAGACATATATTAAAAGGAGAAGCTGATGAAAAATGCAAAGACTAAGTACATAAATACATATATTCCTCGCTTTGAACTGGCTCGTCAGGCAAATATTTGTGTTTTCATCAAATCTAAGGCAAGGTCAAACTCCAAAGTCCCTGCAAAAAAAAAAAAAAAGCTCAAACTCCAAAGTGGGACAAAGTTGCTCCATCTCTAGCTTCTTTTAGAATGGTCGTCACCATAAAATCAAGAACACCCCCAGCAGCTGGTTCAGAGTCAGTTGCTAAGAAAAAAATTCAGATTAGTGTACTACGTCAAAGCTACTGGAGCCAGAATCTGTATGAAGGTCCCCGTTTCTCTTGCAAATCAAGAATCCATTGTCGTCTAGTCCGGTTAGGATATCTGGCTTTCACCCAGACGACCCGGGTTCAAATCCCGGCAATGGAACATTAATTTTTGTACATTTTTTCTTTGTCTGCTAGTTTTGTTTGTGAGCAGCTCACAAAACTAACTTCAAGATTTAATTTATGGCTTGTTCACTTTGTTGCTTACCAGATTTTCACAATACCAATTTTTAATAAGCTTTGGTTTTACTAAAAAATTTTAACTTGGTGTGTTTAGTTTGACATCTTTCTAAATCTTGGTAGTGCTTTTTATCAGGGGTGAAGCTAGCATCAAAATAAGGGGGTGTACTACCATTAAAAATCTAGAAATTTTCAGTACAAAACTGTGTATTTTAGTGTTTTTAAGTGAGAATTGAGGAATTCTGGGGTTAATGTGCACCCCATACACAATATAGCTTCGCCACTGCTTTTTATAATAAGAAAGTTCCAAAACCACCAAATAATGTTAAGGTTAAAATCAGAATAAAGTGAACAAGTTCTCATCAGCTGTGTTTGTTATGTTGAGTTGGGAACTCATTCCCTTCGCACGAAAAACGGAGCGATATTTTTTTTATGATTAATTAAGTATTTATTATTATTTTTAAATAGATTAATATGATTTTTAAAGCAACTTTCATATAGAATTTTTTTAAAAAAACGCACCATTTAGCAGTTTAAAAACGTGCGCTCGGAACACGAGAGAGAGGAGTTGGGAATCCAGGCGGCCAAACATATATAGCCGTGTAATTAATTTCCTACGTACCACTAAACAGCTTTTTTGAGGTGAAATTTATCGTCATTTCATCTACTACATGTAGAATTTTGCATTGCTTGGAGCCTTAGCCTAGTTAACTTCTCAGCGAAAACGAGAAAGCTCTATTAGAGCATGATCAATTAAGTATTACAGAAGAAAACTATTATTCAATTAAGCTTGCATATGGGCTGCCTCCAGGCCCATAGGCCCATGATCTGTAACTGGGCCGTAACTTGCAAACCTGCACTAGAATGGGCTTTAATTCTTGGTTGTCAATTAATTCAGTAGTTTTGATATTATTAATTTTTATTATTTACTAGAAAAAATGCATGTGCGTTGTAACGGGTGAAGGATATTTTATTATTGTTACACAGTTTAGTTAAGATGAAACTCACTATAGAAATTTGCTTGGATATATATTTTTCTACAAAATCATGAGCTGCAATTAAGAATCCGATCATTTCAAGTTAGCATGCGAGTTTTTTAAAGAGATATCTTATACATATTTCTAAAAGCGAACGAATTTAAAACCTGACTTAAATACGGATCTATATTTTCAAAATCGAATGAATTTAAAAGCCAACTCATATACAGATGATATATAAAAGTATCGGTAAAAACATCTTCAATTTTTATAATGGAAGAGATATACATCTAAACGACTGAATCTTCTCTTGCCTAAGTTGCCTTCGTGAAATTTCTTCAAACTCGCTTTGAATCACGCCTATATGCACCAATTAACGCCTTGTAATCAGTGGATATTTGCATTGTGTCCAATATATCAATCAGTACGCGTATGGCTTGTGGCCGAGTATTGAACGCTGGCTGAACGACTTGACTCTTGTGCTGGACTTTGATCTGTTCGACTCTTTTAGTAGCTTAATTATTACTAGCCCTCAAAATATTGTCTTTTGTTCCTAGCTCAAAAGGCAAATTAATTAAGTCGATCTAGATGTTTGTGCTGCTATACACGAGAATAGATATTGTTGTTTCACTGCAAGATGAACATAACATTTGCAGATATTTTTATCCTTTCCAACTAGATGTACACAATTAGTATTAAAATTTCACCTGTTATTTTCGCATAGAGAGATTAATGGAAACGCTATGCGTTGTCGGAAACGACGATCGAGTTAATAAGCTGTGGCTTGTGTTAGGAACATGTCGCATCTATGCTTCCAAGAAGCCTCTCATGGCTAGTTAAATAGTTAGTTAATTACTATCTTAATTAATTTGATCATGTGCCTCTCCATTCATCGGTTCTTACAAAGTAGTAGTATATACTACTCCTAAATCCACTCCCAAAAAATTCCTTCATCAGCTTCTAGTATACTGGACAACTACTTCTCTGAATACTTGCAGATGCAGAGAGTCTCTGTCTGCAGCTGTTCTATACTCCACTGAGCTAGTAACAACTACTTTTGATCTGTTCACCAACTAGTAGCATTAGTACAGTTTCTTATTCGGATGCTCTCTAATCTCTGCATAATAAGTAGCATATTATACTGCGAGCATCTAATCCTAATCACCGTATTTGTTACTCAACTTCCACCGTCTTTGTCCAAAAAATAGGCCACAAAAAGAGCCAAGCAAAAGTTCAGGTTTTCAGGAGTTCTTTGCTGTAAGCTAATGAGTGAGTTGGGATGTCATGACAGTGATCTTGAGCAAGCACACACAACTGAAATTAAAAAGAAAGAAAAGAATAATCTAATAGTATGAGATTATACTTGCATTCACACAACATCCTTTTTCTTTCAGTTCCAAGATGCATATGATTATCTGCAAGGGATTAAGTGCAGATCTGATAATCAAGTGCTTTGCTAATACGGCAAGCTAATCACATCTTATCTCCGACAAAGAGACAGGTTAATGCTAGATCCCACCGTGGCAAAAATTGTCAGCTTGTGGTATGAATGAAATGATGATTAAAAACAAAGTTGTGAGGCAGCTGGGAGCATTCTAGAAAGAGCCAGCAAATGCCAATTTGACCCACCACCTTCTGAAAGCTACACACCAAATTGCAAAGTGCAGAAAAAGAAAATTTTGAACATTTCTTCTCATGGTCCTCTTCAACACCAACAGGAAGAGATGGAATTCATCTTTGTCTCCATGGCCATGGCGTGTCAGGGCACATTATGAAATTACACCCCTACCTTTCAGCAAAATTTCATCCAACAGAGTTGCTGTTGACCGTTGACCTTTTTGTGGGTCAACTCAATCAAGACCAGTCAAACTAAGCAGAAAGATTCATAGATCAGTGAATGTAGTGTATGAAGTTATAGTGGAAACTTGAAAGTATGCAATCCAAATTTGTCAAAAGAGCATTGCTACTCATACTATTTTTCTTTCTTTTTTTCGCATAGCTCTTACCAACAAATCTCTCAACCGTTTGATTTAATAATTATATGGGAGTTCAAAGTAATTCTATATTTACTCACATCATACCACATCAATGTTTGTAATAGATTTATAATAAATCTTTTAGGACCTTTGTAGTAAAAAAAACAAGTCTAAAATCAAGAACCAATACTTTTGGGCTTTTGGCGAGTACAAAAGTGGAGGTCTTAATCAATCCTCTTAACAATAATAATTAAATATAAATATAGGGGGTAGAGTGCAAAAAGGACTCACCTTATTAGTCATCTTCCTTAGCCTTAAGCGTAAAGCAACTCGTCTCATCTTCAGAGAAGCAAACCCAACAAAAAAAAAAAAAGAATTTTCAGGTTTTCTTCTCGCTTTCACCGGAGAAGGAGAAGGAGAGGAAGGTGTTGATCGAATCCTCCTCCAATCGCGCGCGATTCGATCCCCGTTGCTGGCCGCTCGCTCGCTCGATCCCTCATCCGATCTGAATCCCCCGATCTGATGGCGGCCAACCCCGGCAACAAGATCCGCAACGCCAAGCTGGTGAGGAATCAAACGTCTCCCTCAATTTGGTTTCTTGATTTGTTTTTGTTTCCCCCTGGATTTAGGGCTGATGATATTTCCCCCTAAGATCCCTCCTTGTTGGTCGCGATTAGATTGATGAACTGATTCCCCCTTATTATGATCGTAAAACAAGAACTCAATCTTTACTTATTGGCATCATGTGCTCATGTTGTTCATGTATCACGAATTCCGGGTCTTGGGAGTATGTTGGTATGCGTTTACTAACAGTGTTGATTAACCAGGTTCTTCTTGGAGATGTGGGCACGGGCAAGTCGAGCCTCGTTCTCCGGTTTGTGAAGGGCCAGTTTGTTGAGTTCCAGGTGAATTTCTTTTACACGTGAACTACTATGACCTAAGATTGAGCAGGTTTGGTGTGTTGGGATAGGCTTGATTTTGTTGGTTCATTCGGATGCAGGAGTCCACCATCGGCGCGGCCTTCTTCTCGCAAACCTTGGCGGTTAACGATGAGACGGTGAAGTTCGAAATCTGGGATACTGCAGGGCAGGAGAGGTATCATAGCTTGGCTCCGATGTACTATCGGGGTGCGGCTGCCGCGATAGTTGTCTACGACATCACAAATGCGGTTAGTACAAGACTAAGTGACTTGCTTGAATTTTAATTAAGTTGTACATCTTGATGATAGTTTCTCAAAGTTTTGATTTAATGCAATCATGCCTGCATATCACTGAAAATTATAAGTACGGCACCACAGCCGCGATTGGTAGAAATTACTAACAGTCTAATAATATAATTTACGCCATTGAAACCAGAATTACGATTAGTAAGTATTGGTAAAATCACCCCTTCTCTGTGATTAACATATCGAACCAAGTATTCATGATAATCGTACACCAACTTTGACATTTTAATCCATCATCTTTTATTGTCACAGAAGATTCGAACTTCCTACATATAGTTTTAGGTTATATTGCTCTTCTGGTCTTGGTTCAAGTGTGGCCATGTTTTCCCAGATGATAGACTGATGAGTTGGTTCTGCCATTACCAATTAGCAACTCCCATGTCCTGGCGTTATGGCACACTGATAGTAGATCAACTAGTTATCTTCACTGTTTTTGCACCTTGTTTGCATCTTATGAGCAAGCCCTATTCGGAGAAGATACTGTATCTATTGTGTGCCCTTACTTGAACGGAGGAACCCTTCAATTCACGGTCTTGCGATCTTATGTATTAGCATATTAGCAACGCATCTCTTTATATTTTTCTTGCTTCACATGCAGCTTTTAGTGTGTGTTCTTGGTAAACATGATTTCGATCTGCATTACAAGTTTTTGGGAAGAAATAAATATATCATAGTTGATAGTTTACACCGTGCACAAATTTAAGTCTAACTTCATTCATACTGTTTTATCTGAGTATGCTCACTGCTCATTTTGTAAAAGTGGTGCTAATAGTGGTTCTCATCATTATTTTCTGCCTTTTAGGCCTCTTTCACACGTGCAAAAAAATGGGTTCAAGAACTTCAAGCGCAAGGTAATCCATTTCTCTTTTTGTAATTTTCACGTATGATTAGAACATCTGTAAATAAGCAGCTATATTGATTTTGTACAACTGCTGGACCACCTGTACTGTACAGTTCTCTTATAAGTGAACTTGCAATTTCATAGCACTATAAGACATCGTGTCTGTTTTTTTAATAGTCCAGCTAATACAAGTTAACTTCTTTTTATACAGGAAACCCAAACACGATAATGGCTCTTGCTGGTAACAAGGCTGATATGGTAGAGGCGAGGCAGGTGCCAGCAGAAGTATGTAATTTTGCTTCTCAAATCCCTTTTTTTGTGATTATATGTCAAAGCACTAGTGCATTTCTGCATGAAACTATCATGTCACTGTGATTTGATATTTGTCACTAGCATCTCATAATGGTGCTTATTTTCCTCATTGCTTCGAGCAAAAGTATAATTTGGCCTTACCAGCTTCAAATTACTGTATTTTTCTCCTGTCACATTTGACGATGAATTATCAGTATGTTGTGATAGTGAATAGCACAGAATAACTATGTCTACTTTTTGTTGCTCCTGCTTCATTGAAAAAATAACTCTGAATTGAAGTATTTAACAAAAAAATATATAATAAAAAGTTGTGAAGGCAAGAAGGTTTTCTGTTCTGTGGTGGTCTTTTTTGTTTGCTCATTGCAACACTGATCTATTAAATAATAGATACCATCTTTTGTGTTTGTGGCACTATCCTGTTCTTGAAATGAATTTCTTTTCCATTATGACAGCCTCTGCGGCTTGCTTTGTTGATGCTTATCAAAAGCTCTAATTTGTATGGTGCAGGAGGCAAAGACCTACGCACAAGAGAATGGCCTTTTCTTCATGGAAACATCTGCGAAAACGGCGATCAATGTGAACGATGTATTCCACGAGATCGGTGAGTTTAGATCACAAATCATTTCCGCAGTGGATTTCTGTACGCCGACAGAGCTGGTTGGTTATTTGGTGTACAAAAATGTACACAGCCTGCTTCTGCTAATTTCTAAGCGAATTTGCATTCTTAATCTGATTTCAGCAAAGAGATTGCTTCAAGGACAGCAGGCTCAAGACACACCGGCTGGAATGGTTCTCAACCAGAGACCAGCTGAGAGGATGGTGAGCAGTTCTTCATGCTGCTCATAATTCAAGTGTGGAGTATGTGACAACTACATAATGCCATGGCCTGAAATCCAGGAGAAGTGTGTATGCATCAGAGATGCACACAAAGCTTGTAAAGTGGCTGCTGCCATCCCAGCTGCTGTTTCTTATTTTGTCATGTTCGTTCTGTAAATGTGAATACTAGGGTGTCGCTGCAGAAATTCAGATGTATTACTACAGTGTATGCTCTTGCTTAAGTATTTCTCGACACTGAAACAGAGTAAAGCAAAGTCTAGTCAGATTCGTTTTGTTTGCTTCAATTCAGATCATGCAGTGAGCTTGCTTTTTACATTCTAATTGTGCTAGTATGTGCAATTCAGACCACATTCACCCATTTGTACCTTTTCGTCAGAAAAATGGAAAAATATGATCAGATTTTGTAGTTACCCTTTTACACAAGGAATGTGGTAAAGATACACGCATCAACTGAACAATTGCTGATGTAGCTTATCCAATTCAACATCAAGAAGTTCTGAAACCATCCCAAGCATGTGTGGCTCACAAGAAAAACAAGCATATACACGCTTAGGGAATTAACAAAAAATAAATAAAATCAGTGATGGCAACTCCTTTTGCTTATGCACCAAACCAGGAAAAAAGGGAGTACAAGAGGAAAAGCTCATGAAGGTATAGAACCATCTCACTTTTCCTGTATTGATTTTCAAGAGGGGCATGGAAACATATTATTCCAAATGAAATTCATCAGTATGTGCCATTCTTTTTTTTCTTAATGCTATCTATGTTGTTTTCACTGGATGTAATCTTCATTGTAGCTGTCACTGATCACCGAAACGAACCGCTCGAGCCATGGCAGCTGGTGAAGGTCCTTCATGGTGTCAATGATATATGAATCGGCGCAGCGGGGCGGCGACTGGCTTGGAGGCTCACCCAGGTTGAAACCCCCTGAGAGGAACCTCTGAATGAGAGCCAGCTGAGCTCTCTCCTGCTCCGAGTACCCTTCGATGGCGGTTGGCATGCAGTCGAACGTGTCCCATGCCCATATCTCGGATGCTTGGGTGGAATGCGCTGCCGAGGCAGCCTCGATGCTCTCTTCGTCCCAGAAAACACATTGGCATGTCTGTATACCATTGGTGTACTCGGCGCCACAGGAGTAGCAGAACTCGTGCCCGCACCTTCAGAAGTGACAAACCAACATTTAGCATATCGATAAGAATCAAAAGGTGCATTCATGAATTAGTAATCCTTGATGGGAGCGAGCATTTGCAATGCAATAGCTATCTAGGTGGGCGAGCAACACAGAGCACATCTAGTTGGATCTGAATCTACCTAGTGTGAAATTACTATGAAGAGTATGCCCATATAAACAAAACCCTAATGCGGACTGTAGAAGAAAATTCTCTTATTGACACCAGTAATGCACCTTAGGCCCCAACTAAGAATTATATGAAGTTATCTCTTGTATGATATGATAAATTAAATAACTAATTTGGGAATCCGGGATTCTGAGGCCATAATAAGGAACACCTTGGAATTTGTACTGAAAACTACCAAGTTCTTTAATTCAGAGTGTGGTCAGAGACAGAGTGGGCCAACATAATATAGCTAGCTTACAGTCTACAACATTTCTATCTGTTTGGTAACTTTCAAATATTACAGATTGTGGGAGAGGCAGAAATCAGCGCACTACTTAAAAGTTGCACTAAGAAAGCTTCATCAAACATAATAAACATTCGTTCATAACCTGTGAAAATGTGAAATGATTCTTCTCTCTCATTTAGAAATTTTAACTACTAGCATGACAACAGATCTTTACTCTTATAATAAACAGTGTTTAATGCTTTCAAGTTTCAGTTGAAGCCCAATGAAACCGGCCAAAAAGAGTGCTTCTCTATGTAGAATTATAAAGCTTAGTTCTGTGTGTACTTGTTTATTTTTTTAAAAAAGAAATTCCTCTTTTTAGTCTACGAGATTCCATACCAGCAAGTGTGCCAAACTGAAAAAAGGAACATACCAGCAATTCATATGGAAGCAGCCTTGTGTGAGTTCAATCATTCGTCGGCATCTCTGACAACGCCTCCACCTATTGTTTTGTGCTAGCCGATGCAAAGACAGGTCTCCTGCATCTCTTTCATCAACAGGCAAGCTCTGGTACTCATCACAGCCCATCATGACATGCCATGGCACTCCACAGTTGATACAGATATCTCTATGGCATTCTGGGCACTCAACACAATTGAGATCTGACTGACTTGATGTACTTGCTCTAGAGAAGTGCTGACTAAGATCTAGTAGAACTGAACAGTTTGGAAAGGGACAATAAAATCTTTCCATGTCTGAGGTGCCAGCTTCTGCAAAAGCTCTCTCCAGAGAATCGTAGCAGCTAACTGGAAGGAATGACTTACACTCACTAGCAGAAATATGATATTTACACCTTAACTGTGGGCATCTTATAGGAACCTTGTTGGTTTGCAGCTTCTCTTGAGTATATGAAGTCAAGCAGCTATAGCAAAATGTATGAGCACAACCCACTTTGATCATCTGAGCGCCTCGTTTTTCCTCACAGCAAATTGAACAGGTGCCAACCTCGTATGGAGATAGATACATGATGCCTATGGCTTCTTTGGCCAACTGCAGTGGCCTCTCAAGCTCAAAGCTAGGAAGCAATATTATATCAAAGTCTTCCAGCTTTTCCACCAGTTCAAGAATTCTGTGTCCTAAAGCTACCAAGAGCTGGTCTTCTAGAATTTCAGCTTCTGCGATCTGTCAGTGCAAAAGAACAAGAAATGACACATCATGTCTAAGTATGATATAATACAGGAAGGCAGTAAGATAACTCTATTGAAATAGGTAATTATGTAAGAATTCTACAGCTTTCGGACAACATAAATTGAACAAACTACTGCATAGAACTGCAAGTGATGAATACGATCTATATACTGCAGCTGCACTGCAGTAGCAGAATTTGGAATGTGCAGCTGTCATAACTGCACATTCCCTACCTTTTCATCCTTTCGTTCCTCTCAGTTTAGTTCTGTTTACAACAGTCAGCTATTAATAGGTAGCTGTTAAAATCTCAAATAGGAAAGACGGTTTCTTCATTGACTGATTGTTGAATTGATTAGTTCGACTAACTTGGAACCAAGCAAGATGGCATGAAGTCAAGTATAGTTATCGTGGTGCGGTCCATTTTTTTGTCATTCGGATTACCAGCCAAACATGTGGTATCCTCAAAACATGAATTACATTATTTTGGTAGCGTATATCACAATGCCAAACTGCAACATACAGTTTAGTTAACTAAACCTTAAGCGCCCATTAGGTGATGCCCAATAGCAGAAATATCAGGGTGATTGAAAGCGATACTAGCGATTCTGTGTAACATTCATAAGGGCAAACCATATATTAGAGAAAATCGGAAACTCTTGCCTGAAAGTACAGCTTCTCCGAATTGGTGAAAGCAAAGATCTTCCGTATCCCATTCTGCAACGCCACCAACAGGCCATCCATCAGCGCCAAGTGATCGGCCACTAGCTCATCCACATAGAAGTCCAGTTTCTTCTGCACCTGAAGCATAGGCACCCCAGGTGACCTCTCCATCACCACCCCAATCCCGGACAGCTTCTTCCCCTCCGCCTCGGGGCTCGACACGCCCTTGAAGAACAGCCTCACCGAGCTCTCATCAAGCTCTCCCTTGGCGACGCCGGCCGTGAATGACTCCTCGGTGTCCTCCCACTCATCCTCATCCCCACAGCAGCTCCTGAAGTCATCCTCCCCTCTCGAATTGCAGGCGAAACTGCCCTCCACGTCGGCTAACCTCTCCTCCATTGCTGAAATCCCAATCCAATTGGTGAAATCCAATCAAATCAAATCAAATCAAGACGACACTCTCTGACTCAGTTAGAAAGCTGAGCAATCCCCAATTTGAGCAATCTCCATTCAGCTAGATGGGTCAGCAAGAAGCTGAGCACACTGACAGGCAACCAAAACCAAAAAGGTTTCCACCAAACGAGCCCTTTTGAGCTCGAGACTGCACCTAATCCCAACTCCAAGAAGGTGCCTTGTTCCTTTTTGCCACAACCACTATGGTGGTGGTGGTGATGGTGCCAGTGACCTATCGCTCCGACGACCCCACAGATTCGTGGGGGGGCCTCGGAATCGCACGAGATTTGGCTCAGAAATTGGCGGAGAGGATGGCCATGAAGCACCAGAAGGAGCTCCACATCGCGAATTCCAGGGCCGCGAGGGCGAAATTGAACGGGGCAGCGACCAAATTCACCCAAATGTTGGAGCTTTCGTCGATTCTCGAATTATTCCTCATGCGAGAGAGACGCTCAGTAGTAATTAGCAATTCAGACCCCGAGGACAGTGCAAATCACCGCCGCGACGTGAGCTCCAATCACCTGCCTGCAAGGTGAGAATTTACCAACAATTCAGATCAAAATCAGCAATTGCGAGAACGAAACGACTGCTCCTGAAATTGACAAAAGAAAAAAAAATCTAGCTCAAATGTTGGAAAGGCCCAAGAAAAAAAAGGAAGAAAATACCGAGGCAACCTGCCTCGCAATCGAATCTAACAGCAAATTCTGCAGAAAACTCGTAGAAACAGATCTAGAGAAGGCGAGCATTTAGGCCCAAAAGTAGATATTCCAGCTCAAGAAAAATTACTAGAAAACAGCAAGAGAAAACTCCGCCCAACAAGCACAAAAAGAACCCAACAAAATTCGCAGAAAAAAAAAAAGATGAAGAACAAGAACACACTCCACACAGACCGAGATGCGCCCAATCGAAGCAAGAGCGAGTGTGGGTCAGAAAGAGAGAAAAGCGGGAGCACCTGGGAGTCACACGCATCACATCGAGGAGAGATGAAACCGGGCCTCCGGGGACAAGAACCCAGAGGGAGGAAAGAAGGAAGGAATTGAGGGCAAGCAACAAATGGAGACAAAGATGGGAGCTTTCCGGCACACCCCGGTGACGGTGAGGCGCCTTTCCTTGCGGCAGTGGAGAGAGAATTTATTCTGAGGAAGAAGAAGAAGAAAAAGAGAGAGGAGTGGCGTTAAAGCAAAGACAGAGGAGCCCTAATTATTCCTTCTCGACCACGAGGAGCAGGAGCAGCACTGCAATTGCAAACTCTCCTCTTCTCCTTCTTCTTCCTCTCCAGATTTGCACTGCTGTCCCTCAACAAGCACAAATATTGCACCTTTCAAACTTAGCACTACTACCTCTCTTCTAAAATGTTCAGTTATTTTATCATGGAACGTGTTTTAAAATGAAGGGTGTGTTTAGTTCACGTCAAGGGCCCCTTTGATTTGAAGAAAAAATATAGGAATTTTGGAGGATTTCAATCCTATAGAAAAAATTCCTATGAAGCCCTTTGAAACAAAGGATTAAATCATATCCAATCCTTTGAAATTCCTATGGAATGCACAATTCTATAGATATTTTGGAGGAAATTTAGCAAGAGCTCCAACCTCTTAGAAAATTTCCTTTGAGTCTATCTCTCTCATCCGTTTCCTGCGTTTTTCCTGCGCTCCAATCAAACGACCATTCCTGTGTTTTGCGATCCTATGTTTTACACTTACATTCCTATCATAATCATGTGTTTTTCCTATTCCTATATTTTCTCAGCCCTGCGATTCAAAGGAGCCCTAAAATTGAAAGTTTGGTTGAAATTGGAACGATGTGATGGAAAAGTTGGAAGTTTGAAGAAATAGTTTGGAACTAAACACGGCCGAAGTTCTTTTCATCTACATTATCTTCTTAGCCAATCATAACCATTCTCTATTTAATTTCTTTATATATTTTCTTTTATCAACAATGACAACTTTTTTAATGATTTTTGTATATTTTATTAATATTTGCTTTGATCTTAAAAACAAGATAGTGGAGAACTAAGGCATGTTTGATTTAGATTATTAGATGGATTATTTAGGGATAAATTACTTTTAAAGTAGGCTTAAAAGATACTACTAGCTTAGACCAAACGGTCAATACAGTGAAAATAATTTAAATTATTGAATGGATTATCGATTTAGTTGTAGAAATAAAATTATATATATTGAGAAATAAACTTGACAAATAACTTGAAACAAGCAAAAATGCATAAATTATTTTAGAAAAATGTAGTTTTAGAAGTGTGAAACAAATAATTTATTTTATATTTCGATGAATAAGAAAAAAAAATATGGCACCATCAATCCTTAAACAAGTCATTATTACTCGTTCATAACGTGTCCAATTGCCTACGTTTGCTTGTGCCATATCATAAGACGACTCCGCATTTTATAAACGAGTCAATGACATCGATGTTGCGAGTGTTTATAATGGGTTTTATTGCTCCTTGAAACCATCAAGGATAAGTTAACCAAAAAAACTTTAAAGTTTTATTGTTAGGTGTATGTTTGTTTATACTTTACCCTCGTCAAAGAAACAAACATGTATCTACCGTAGAGAACAAATCAATCAATGCATTCTAGTAGTGCTAGGTGGTACTTGGATTCAGGGACTAAACCTGTCATATCGGATGAATTTGGAGTATTAAACATGAACTATTTACTAATTACATAAATAAGAGCTAATTCGCGTCACAATTTTTTAAGCCTAATTAATCCATATAATTAGCATATGTTTACTGTAGCATCACATAGGCTAATCATGGATTAATTAGGCTCAATAGATTTGTCTCGCAAATTAGTCCAGGGTTATAAAATGAGTTTTATTAATAGTCTACGTTTAATATTTATAATTAGTGTCCAAACATCCGATGTGATGGAGACTTAAAAAGTTTTAATCCCTTTTAAACGGGGTCTTAATCAAGCATGTATTTATTACTACTCCCTAAAGTAGTGGAAAATTAATATACCCTCCTTTTCTAAATACAGTAACTAATCTTAAATTCTGCTCTTTGGAATTATGACCACAATCTACTCTTAAATGTTAGGTAAAGTGAACGAAATTTCGTTCTTACATTTACTCCATCCATTCCTAATTAATTTTTTCCTAATCATCTTTCACAATCAATTTTCAGCATCATGAGATTAATGTTTTAAAATTCATTGTGTAATATTTATATAATGTACTCCCTCCATCTACTTTTGATAGTCATATTCCATCTTGGCACACAGACCAAGGATAAGTAATTCTACTTATCATCTATTTAAACATGCTACCAAGGATAATATGATAGGTTGTTGAATTGAAATATGCCTATCAAAGATAAATTTTTCAGATTTAGAAATATGACTATCAAAAGTAGATGGAGGGAGTATATTTCACATGATATTGAACTATAGGAATTTCTAAAATTTTATTATTGTTAAAGATAGATATGTTAACTTACGATAAAGCTAAATCAACAAGTAATATGAAATGGGAAGTATATGACATATTACACTTAAATAACATATAACATTTTTTATGGTTTGTAAATACTTAAAAGAACAAATGATCAAAATTTTAAAGGTGGATAGTGTGCCTAACGTTGGTTATTTTGTAAAAAGGTGACGAACACACTGACAGCCGCCAAGAAGTAATTCATCCGGTTTTATAATTTTAAAGTTTTGAATAATAACACGATCTACAAAACGCATCTTTAACTATGATTTTCTCTTGTAATGCATATAATAAATAAATATTTAATTTTGTTACAGTATTTTTAATAATAATCTATTTATATTTTTTAAGTGCATTCAAACTTGTAAATATTTTAGAAGATACTAATTGTTAAAGAAATTTTAATAGTTTGACTCCAGCTGAATTAAGGAATCGGATGGAGTAATTAGCAGAAGAGAGGAGGTGCGGATTGCAAAAGAGGCATGGAAGTGGTTGGTCGATTGATTGATGTCGAGTTTAATGGCGGTCGGGGCCCACACTCACACTCTTCCTGCATCTGCATGCGAACGGAACGGAAGAAGAAATCCTCCGTTCCGTTTGGACTCGCCAAGTTGGGGCGGTGGAGTGGGCCCACGCTGTCGGCGAGAGCAGCCAACTCGGACCAGCGACGTGGCAACCACCACCGTCCAGTGTCAGCGTCAGCAACTGAGCATATTCTACCAAAATCATCTTCCTCCTCTCATCAATTATTATTATGCTTATTAAGGATCAGGAACGACTACGTGCACAGGATTCTAATCTCCTAATCCGATTGAAAACATGCAGAGATTCTTCCCTGCATTCTGAATTTCTGATGAGAGAATCAAGGATATGAGCATGAACGTGCGGATAACAAAAAAACAATAACAATTTTTAGAAACATTAATTCTCTCTAATACTCCCTCTGGTTCTATATTAATTGACGTTTTGGGCAAGCTTGAGGTTAAACTTTTATAACTTTGACCATCAATAACTTTAAAAATATTTAGTTTAAAGAAACTAAAAAAACATATATAGATTTGTCTTTTAAAACACTATAATAAAAGTAAACATGCATTCATTTATTGTATATATTATAACAGAAAAATAAGGTCAAAGGTATATCTTGTAGAGCGTGTCATTATCCAAAGCGTCAATTAAAATGAAACCGGAGGGAGTAACTAATGTATGCATGTGTGTTTCCTTGCAATCGTATCTTTTTCTCCTTTTATTTTTCCTTTTCCTTTTTACTGACGACAGCACCTGATTCAAGATTCTAATGCTCGCATCTTCAGGCTTTTACTAATTTTTTTTTCTTTTCATCAGTCTTTTTTGAACTCGATTCTTTTCTCTTTTCTTCAAGAGCAAAACTCAGCTTTAATCTACTTTCTGCCTGGGCCGGGATTCACACACTGATTAGGCAAGGAGGGTAGGCGATAGATTATACTACTGTATACTGTTGCTGATTCAGCTAGTTGTGTTGTGTCATTAATAGGAAATTAACCACAGCTTGGGAGAGCTCTAGCTAAAGAACTCTTGTTCATCTACTCTCGCGTCGTCCTCCCCTGGGGCGGCACGGGAGGCGACGACCCAGCCACCCATCTCCCTCCCCTTCTTCCCCTCCGCCTCGCCGCCGCTCGAGCGGCCACCGGCAAAGCCGGCCGGCCGCAAGGACGGCGGCGGCGGGGCCCCTCACCGACCTTTCACCGGGCAGGCAGGGGAGCCGCCAGGCGGGACGGCGGTGACCGCCAGATCCAGGCCGCTCCGGCCGGATCTGGCGGCGGGGAGGACGGCGGCCACGGCGGCGGGGATGGCGACGGCGAAGGCAGGGGCGCGCGGCGCTAGGCGGCGGCGGCTGAAGGCAACGGGAATGGCGATGGCGGCGGGGATGGCGATGGTAGCGGGGAAGGAACCGGCCGCGGGCGCGAAGATGGTGGTGGTGGTCCCGTGTGAGCTTGTGGTGGCAACGGCGCGGTGCTCCTCGGCGGCGGCGGCGGCAGTGTCCCCCAGATCCGCGCCTCTCGGCCGGATCTGGAGGGTGGCCGGCGGCAACTGGCGGCGGCTGTGCGGCGACGACGGCGGCGGTGCGGCGACGGCAGCGGCGGCGGTGCGGCGACGGCAGCAGCGGCGGTGTGGCGACGGCAGTTGGCGACGGCGACGGCGGTCGCGGTAGTTGGCAGTTGCGGTGTTGGCTGGCGATGGCGGCAGTGGCGCACATGGCATGGGGCGGCAGCCAGCCGCATGCTGGTGAAGGGTGACGGCACAGCGGCAGGTTGCGGATGCGGGGGCTGGAGTCGGTGGCAGCGGCGACGGCGGCCGTTTGTGGAGGCGGTGGTGACATCAGCGGCGAGGCGAGGATGGCGACGGCGAGGAAGCTGGGCGTTAGGCAGCAGCGGCTGCGGTGGTGGTGACCGTGTCTGCGGTCACTGGAGGCATGGCGGCCTCAAACGGCTAGCTGAGGGCGTGGGAGGCGACTACATCTGGCCGGCGCGGCATCGTTTGGTGGAGGGGTCGGAGACCGGCTTGGCGCAGAGAAGCGCAGCCGATGACAGCGGAGGCCGGCTCGGCGCGAGAGGCGCGAGCGACGGAGATGGAGGCCGGCTTGGCGCGGGAGGCGCGGCCGATGGAGGGAGACCGGATTGGCGCGAGGCGCGTCCGGTGGAGGAGGCCGGCTTGGCGCAGAGTGGCGCGGCCGGCGGTGGAGGAGGCGACCTAGGGGTGAGGGAGAGCTGCCGGTGGGTGTAGCGCGGTCTTCAGCGCTCGAAGACT